ACTTTTGCAATCTTCTGTGATGAAAGCCTCTTATTTATAAATCTAAAACCAAAAAAAAAAAAAAAAAAGGAAAGGGAAGGGAGAAAAAGCAGAATTTAAACTGTGAATTATTTAAATAAAAGTAGAATTAGATTTTTGGGGGGGAAATTTTTATTCCATATGATTTAGGCACATTTCACAGTTGATTTCCTTTCCATTCCTTTCTATAGAATTTTAGTATCAGTTTAAGTCCATTATAATTTTTAGATATTTCTTACTAGAAAAGAAAGCCATTAATCTGAATTACCTCCTATTCATTAAAAAATGGTTAAGCAGTCCTTACTTCCACGTCCTTGAAGTAAGAAGTCAGGGCCTCCCCCATTTCTCTCACTCAGGCATCAGTGACTGCAGCTTCTGATGTTTGGCCTCAAAAGAAACTCCTTAATCGGACTCATCCTCTACTGTGGGTGGCCCGGATTCAGGCCCGCAGCGGCGCCAGCCCCTCCCCCCAGGGCGCCTTCGGGCTGCCGCAAAGGAGGCCACGGGCCCCGGGAGAGGTAGGGGGAGGGGAAGCCAGCGCGGTGATTGGCGGAAGACCGGCGAGGGGTCGTGCGGCTGCTGCCCATTGGTGCCGGGGTCCCCAACTTCACCGCGACCCCCACAAGGCTGCTGCTCTTCGTGCCCAGTCGCCGCGTTGTCTCCTGAGGAGATGGACGCTCCTGCTGCCGATGCCGTCGTGTTGCCCGAAGAAGAAGAGCTGCACGAGTACGAGAGGCTCGGGAAGCGGCCGGCTACCCCGCCCTTGCCGGAGTTGGCTGGGGAGGCCAGTAATAGCCCCAGCACGGACGGGTCACTACCCTCAATGCCACCCCCAGCAGAGGCGGAGGAGGACCTCTTGTACTGGCAGTCGCTGGAGATTATCTCTCAGTACTTTTGGGAGCAGGCAACCAGCGCCAAGGATGCAAAGCCAATGGTCAGGTTTGGGGCCGCCAGCAGGAAGGCGCTAGAGACCTTACGATGTGCAGGGGAGAGTGTGCAGCGCAACCACGAGATGGCCTTCCAAGGTAAGGGGGTTAATGGTTGCCTAGGCTGTGCTTTTTTCCATCTCTCCCTGGACTCATCCACCGAGGATGGGTGGAAACCAAAACGAGTCAGTGTTCAAACAGGCTCCTCATGTTTCTGAAAACAAAATATTCTGGCCATGAGTCAGTGTTTCTGTCCATCTTAAGTCTTTTGGAAATGCAGGTCTGTTAAAAGACTAGAAAGGGTGGGATATCAATTTTCTAGTGGGGTCAGCCTGAGTTCTATAGAGCCCAAATAGCGATTCCCCGTCCCCTCCACCGTGGGTGGGCCGGCAAATTGTGCGCTGGTTTAGGCAAAGTAGGCAATGAGGACCTGCATACTTTTCATCCTCAGGCATGCTTCGGAAACTGGACATCAAAAACGAAGACGATGTCAAATCTTTGTCTCAAGTGATGGCCTATGTTTTGAATGACAGCGTAATAAACTGGGGCAGGATTACGACTCTAATTTCTTTTGGTGCCTGCGTGGCCAAACACCTGAAGAGCATAAATCAAGAAAGCTGCATCGAACCATTAGCAGAAAGTATCACAGACGTTATTGTAAGGACAAAACGAGACTGGCTAGTCAAACAAAGAGGCTGGGTAAGTTTACTTTAAGATTGAAGGGGCCTTTGGAGTGGAAATGGAATGGAGCATTTTTTTAGAGAAGGTGGGGATATGTAAAGGTTTTTATGATGCACGACTCAGTTTTCTAACTCATGCGCCTCTGGTTGCTTGATGTTTAAGTAGTGGGTCCTTAGAGACAGTGGTATTGCAGTCTTGAATTGTATCAGAAATCCTAATTTTCTGTAGACTATTTTTGTTGCCGTTCAGTCAAATACTCTTCAAACCAGTGGATTCAAATCATGAAGAAATGAGTCACCTGGGAATGATAGCTAAAATACATTCCTAAGGGCCTCCATCTTAATTGAATACATGTGGGGTGGAACCTGTGTGGTTTTTTTTTTTTTTTTTTTTGAGACAGAGTCTCACTCTTTTGCCCGGGCTTGAGTGAGTGCCGTGGCGTCATCCTAGCTCA